TCACTTTTCAGACCGATGAGCTTTGTAAAAATCGACGCGTTTCAGAAAGGCGGGGCATAGAGGAGTAACAATAATGTACAGTATGTGGAAAATAATGTGTTTTTGAACCTTAAACCGCATAAACACATTGCATTACACAAAATACACAAAATAATGTTCTTTTTAGCAACGTCCTATGACCCCTTTAAATCACACTTAATAAGAAGCTCCTTATTGCTTATATACACACAGATTACCCACACATTTACCACAAATGCTCAGAAACTGCTTTGCCATTTGCTACTTACATAATATATTCTTACCTTTATAAAACCCCCTAAAACAATTTTATTTTTATTTGTTACAATTATTTTGGAAGCTGCCTCAATTGGGACACAGATGGTAAAAATATTTTTAGCCTGAAGGTGGCGATATCTACATATACATCAGTGCTTCTCAACTGGGGCAAGTTCAAGTTCAAGCTTAACCGGTGTGCACCGTTTTGCTACAGTTTCCGGTTTGAACGACATGTTTCCTGGAAACGGTGAGCAACGGCATAGCACAACAACAGTGATCAGCAATAATGATAAGCCTAATACTCACAATAAAAATAATAAGGTCATATATATCATAACACAGTCTCGGAGGAAAGAAGTGGATTATCCTTCACCTGAAACGTTTGTCTTTTCATCCTGAAATGCGAGGCAAATGTTGGATCACAATAATTAGGAACCACAGTTTCCACAAATCCCAGAGATGTCTAATTGTAATTTTCATAACCGTTTCAGGTTAATATAATTAGCACTTTTAACATTACATGGATGCTTTAACATATATAACTTGTTGATGGTTTATAGATGATGATAAAAAATTTTTGCAGGTGCATTAGCAGACGGCATTGGTCCAGTTAACAAGGATACCAATATGATCCGAAGAGAAGGAGATTCTGTGACAATGATCTGTTCATATGGCAGCAGTTATGTCTATCTCTACTGGTACAGACAGTATCCAAACAGAGAACCAGAATATTTACTGTATAAAGGTGCCCGATCATGGAGCAGTTATAGAAATCTACCAGACCGTAGGTTTCAGTCGACCACATCTGAATCATCCACTGAACTCACTATTAAGAGTGTAACTCTGTCAGATTCAGCTCTCTATTATTGTGCTCTAAGAGTAGCAGCCCAGTGATACAAAATGCCCGAGAAGCTTCACAAAAACTCACACACTCTTATTTCTTTGAACAACAGCAATCAAATGTGTATCAAACCACAGAAATAAATAAATGAGAGGATATGGTAACACCTATTGAACAATAAACTGTGGTTCATAAACTGAGTTAATTTTTCCTTCTTCCAATGAACAAACTAAATAAAATGTTATTAAACTGTAATTGTAAATTGAGGGAAACTAAATATCTGATCTTTGATTAGTAGTAAGAGCAGATAATTAAAATATCCCAGTTGTTATTTCTTCCCTTAAAAATAACATCAAAATAATGAAACAGTGTTATGTTAATATGAATTATATGATTATAATTTCGGTAACACAAACGGTATAATTTAATTGTTTTTGCAAAACAAATGGAATATGTAATGCATGTTTACTACACGATTTTTGCCCCGATTTTCCACCGATTTACAGTCTGGGGAAGTTGATGCTAGTTGCCAAAGGTCAGAGTCAGTCTGTAGATTTGAGTTGACAGATTCCATAGAAAATCCATTAAATTACCTTAAAGTGACAACCATCAGTTTATATGTAAAGTCTGTTTATGAAGTATTTACATAGATGTTCACTGTGGAAGAATCAGTTTATGTAAAATCTGTTTATGAAGTATTTACATAGACGTTCAATGTGGAAGAGCATAAAGAGAGCACACTGAGTTTAATGGGAGCAGCAAACGTTTTTAATAAATTTCATGTAATATTTATTAAAACGACAAGATTTAGCAAAATAAATAATCTAGGTCATGTATTAAGTTCATACATATTTTATCTGCTCTATGTTGCTAAAACTATCTTTTGGATCTAACTAACTGTAATTATTTCCCACTTCCAAGTTCCAGGTTATAATATGCAAAAGTCTAAACATGAATCTCTTAATTTTACAGTAAGTAGTGAAACTTACCCAGAATAAAGGCTTAAACATCTAAAAAAAAATGCACATTTAAGGAGCTCCTCTTTTGGTGAAAGTTTTCAGACAGCTTTCAAAATGACACCCACACTATTCATAAACAGCAGAGCACCTCCTCACTGCAGCTGTTCATCTATGCATCCATTTCAATCATTTATTTCATTTATCAAACGTTTACAAGTTTGCATGTATGAACCTCAAAAACGATTTACATCATGAAAAGAAGAAATGGGATTGGTTATGATGTCAATGACCACACCCACACTATTCATAAACAGCAGAGCAACTCCTCACTGCAGCTGTTCATCTATGCATCCATTTCAATCATTTATTTAATTTATCAAACGTTTACAAGTTTGCATGTATGAACCTCAAAAACGACAAGCTGTGATCAAAACCAATTCAAACTTTTAAACTGAGGTTTCAACATGGAGGTATGTCTGCTAGTGATTCTCATAATTTCAGGTGAATATAATTAACGCTTTAATCATCAAATGTTGTTTTTGACAAAAATGGAATTTTGATTAATGGAAAGGTCTGATGGTTTAATGTGCAACTGCAATTACATTACAGGTGTGTTTGCTGACAGCATTAAACCAAACGACAAGGATACTGATATGATCAAGAGAGAAGGAGAGCCTGTGACACTGAGCTGCACATATGATACAAGCAGCAATTATGTTTATCTTTACTGGTACAGACAGTATCCTAATAGAGAACCTCAGTATTTACCTTATAAAGGTGCTCGGTCATATAGCAGAAATGAGGATATACCAGACCGGTTTCAGTCGACTACATCCCAAACATCCACTGAAATCACTATTAAGAGTGTAACTCTGACAGATTCAGCTCTCTATTACTGTGCTCTGAGAGTTGGAACCCAGTGATACAAAATGCCTGAGAAGCTTTACAAAAACTCAAACACACAATTCTTGCTTTAAAAGTCAGTAATCAAATGTTTATAATACCACATATATAGATTGTAAATAACAGAATGTGGTAACACCTGCTGCACAATTTAGGAGAGCATGAAAAGAAGGGGAGATATGATAATGAACTAGAACAAATTGCTGTTTTACAGCAAAATCAATTTGACATTTCATAGAAAAATTTTAAACTTTTACTTTTAATTTTTTACATTTAAATAAAAACAGACAAAAAAATCTTAATCTATAGATTTACAAAACCAGAACTATGTTATCTATCTTCTCATGTGAACTAAAATGTTCAATAAGAATGGAGAATTAAACTAGACTGCGTTAAGTGCATTTTACATTAATTGCAAGAACAATGATGGTGTAAGACATTCAATAAGAATGGAGAATTAAACTAGACTCTGCGTTAAGTGCATTTTACATTAATTGCAAGAACAATGATGGTGTAAGACAACTGTTTGCCTTATGTACAGTAGATTATTCTAATATGCACAGTGAGAATAGATTGCATAAAAAGAGTTACCTTCTCATTAGGGTTGATAGAATAGGTTTTTTTTTACATTTAGTTCACATCGGTTAAATCGATTAATTTGAAATAAAAAGGGATAGTGGATTGGTTGTGATGTCACTAACCACACCCACACTATTCATAAAAGCAGAGCACCTCCCCGCTGCAGTCATTTATCTATGCATCCATTTCAATCATTTATTTCATTTATTGAAAGTTTATAAAACCACCAATACCTCCTTTAGCTGCAATCAAAACCAATTAAAACATTTAAACTGAGGTATTAACATGGAGATATGTCTGCTACTGATTCAAATAACAATTTCAGGTGACTATATTTTACGCTTTAAAAATCAAATGGTGTTTTTGACATGATGTTTTGGTTTATGGAAAGGGCTGATGTTTTAATGTGCAATTGCTATGTTTTATTGCAGGTGTGTTTGCTGACAGCATCAGACCAGATAAGGATACTGATATGATCAGGAGAGAAGGAGAGTCTGTGACACTGAGCTGCACATATGATACAAGCAGCAGTTCTGTTTATCTTTACTGGTACAGACAGTATCCCAACACAGAACCTCAGTATTTACTGTGGAAAGGTGCTCGATCATACGGAGGAGAGCATAAAACAGATCAACGATTTCGGCCAGCTACATCCCAAACATCTACTGAACTCACTATTGACAGTGTAACTCTGTCAGATTCAGCTCTCTATTATTGTGCTCTAAGAGTAGAAGCCCAGTGATTCAAAATGCCTGAGAAGCTTTACAAAAACTCTCACACACTGTTATTGCTTTGAACTACAGCAATCAAATGCATATCAAACCACAGAAAAGTCAGTATTCAAATGTTTATCACACCACATGTATATCTTTTGTAAACCACTGAGACTGTAAATAACTGAATGTGGTAACACCTGAAGTACATGAGAGGGGAGAGGACATAGAAGAACTTATAAAAACACTTGTTGTAATTCAGTTTGTCATGTTAAAGTTATTCCTATGCATGGCTTCATAAAGTGATGTAAACAATCAAAGCTGAATTATATTCTCAACTGTATGTTAAAGGCACAATATGTACGTTTTCGCCGCTAGAGGTCGCATTTTCAAAACAATAACAAAGGCGAAGCGTGATGACTCTATATGAAGGAGAGTGGAACGATGGGAGATGTCATTTTCAGCATCCAGAGATGTCCGAATCATGTTCACGGATGTAATGAATTCAGTTTTTATTACCTGTACCTTCCAAAGTTATTCAAACAGCGAATAAATTATACAGAGAATGCGAGCAAAGAACATTTGCATTGTCAAGGAACAGTATGACTGACTTCAGTGTAGCGCATTTAAGCACTCTCAAAAAACTCCCCTTATAATCAGTAAAGCTGTCTATGCACTGTTTGATGAATGAACCTCCTACACTCTTAAAAATAAAGGTGCTTCAAAAGGTTCTTCAAGCGATGCTATAGAAGAACCATTTTTGGTTCCACAAAGAACCATTCAGTCAAAGGTTCTTTAAAGAACCATTTCTTTCTTACCTTTTTATAATCTGAAGAACCTTCTTTCACTTCTTTCACCCTTTGTGAAACAGAAAGGTTCTTCAGATGTTAAAGGTTCTTTATGGAACCATTTGGGCAAAAAGGTTCTTCTATGGCATCGTGAAGCACCTTTATTTTTAAGAGTGTACTTATATCATACGTACATCTGCACTTTGTTGTTTATGATGGGAGAATTCGCGAGAGAGCAGAATTCAGTCAGTGAGCGCACACTGAACAACAAAACTCCGGCGTTTCAGCGATGACTTATCTGAATGCCTCTGATTGGCCATTTCATTCATAAACTCAACAGACTCGAGTGTGATTGGTTATAATGCACAACTCTGTAAAAACACGGAAAAAGAATCATGGTGCAACATTGAGGAGATCTAAATTTAATGCTGCAGTCAACACTTTTCATTTCATTTACATTTTATTCGCGACAGCTGTAATAGATTTAGTTTAACTGTACAGCAGCATTTTTGTCCATGTGTGGTGCCATAGTTTCTAAAAGCGGAAACCGATAGCGTGGATATTACGTCATTGATAGGCGACAATAAACCAGGACGAGCCATTATTTAAAATTGGAATTTCTCTGGATTTACAAATGCGTGGGAACTTTTGGGATAACATATGTGCACCACTGCATGAAATATATCACACTGTGCAAGTGGTTTTTGGATAATTTATTATGAAATCTTACATATTGTGCCTTTAAACGTATGAAAACAGGGTCAATCCAACTCAAATGGTCCAAATATTTTAAAGTTGGAATTATTGCAAAACCATTTATTTATTTTTACTTGCCTTGGTTTGACTAGTTGGTACATATATAAATTGTGCACATTCTTGTTCCTTAGTTTAGAAGTTAAGTCCAAATATAATGGTATTGATCTCTCAAAGTTCCACTTTTGGGGTGAATTTATAATGATTTGAAGGTTTGAATGTCCTGAATGTTTTTAGGGAGACTTTTACTTATTTTTTTATTTTTTTTAATAGATGAGAAAGCACAATTTTATACCCCTTACATTTGAGTTGATTATATCTGGTAGAGGAAGCTGAAATTTTCACAAATGTAAATCCACATATTCTGTTGTAATAATCTTGAATTTGAGATTCTGGTAGGATTCTACAGAGCTAGAAATCTGGGGAAAAGCCTATACTTTAGTCATGTGCTTAGCAGAATAAACAGACATAATGCACAACAAACAATAAACAATACAGCATAACAAACAATAAAAATGAACAGTATTTTATAACTTTTTTTTTTTTGGACATACAATAGCTAATGCTGTAAGTGAGGTCTAAAACAGTGGTTCTCAACCAGGGGGCAAGTTGTTAGGAAAAATTTTTAAATTTGTTGTGGGCTTTGAATCAAAAATGCCCACTGTAGTTAAACCAAGTCAAATAAAAGAAAAAAATTGATGGATTTCTTGACAAAAGTTATGGTAGAGAGGTATGTACATAGGCTAAAGAAAATTAAGACTACAACAGCACTGAGCTGATATATATAATTCATCTCATTTTCAGCTCAAAATAAGTTCTATGTTACATTTTAATTACTCTTAATCTTAATCTTAATATCTGTTATGCACAAGCTTTACCAGAAAGATTTAACAGCTACACTGGAATAAAAGTACTCATTAGAGAATGACAAAGAATGACAAGTAACATGCTGCATTAAACACAAAATTTTGAAGTAGAAAAACTGAAATAGTACTTGCTTGTTTGTTTTACAACTTTGAAAAATAATTTTACACCGTGTAAAGGGAGCTGTATAGGTCATACACTGTGTAAAATTATTTTTCACCAAACAGCTCACCAACATTTGTAAAGGAATGCACTTCATGTAGTATCACTACAAAATGCCATATTATGCAAAATGAATAACTGCTAAATAATGTATAATAATGCTAATACATAATTGATTTTTATTTTTTTTTAATAGATACAAATTTACTTTTTTTCAAAATATAACAAAGCTATCAAATCAATCATTAAAATAAATTAAACTTCTGTAATTCTAAAAAGAACCAGGAGAGGGAGATATGCACTTTATACTGATATTATAAAGAGTGAGTATCTGAAAGTGTTATGAGCTCCTCCCTTGCTTATATACAGCAATAATTGCTCTGAATCTCTCTCTTTTCTCAGTTACTCTGTGATTGATTTGTCTTATCTTTAGGTACTCTAGCATCTTGAAGAACAAACAATGAAATTATGGCTGTTGGAGACATTAATAATATTTGGATTAGTTATTCTTGGTATGTTTAGTATACTACTCTTTGTATGTTTGGTTTTATTTTTACATGATAATGCTTTTTGTCACAGAATTATTCTTGTGTGTTACCAGGATGTCAATCAGATGACACAGTTGATCAGCCACTTCATGTTAGTGAACTTGAGGGAGAATCAGTAACATTGGACTGTAAATATACTACAGCCTCACCATCACAAGAGCTTTTCTGGTACATATAGAGAACAGATGAATCTCCTAAACTTGTGTTACAAAGGAATTCATATGGAGGAGGAATTAATGGAACAGAGTTCCAGGAGAGATTTTACTCTGAGGTGAAACCGTCAAAATCAGTTCCACTGATAATCCAGAGACTGTGTTTGCCTGACTCTGCTCTGTACTACTGTGCTCTGAGGTCCACAGTGTTAACAGGATGCCTCTCTCTCAAACAAAATCATATGAAACCTATACAGGGGGGTGGGGGTTGGGTAGAGGAGTGCTTGGACCTGATGTCTTTAGTCACACCCACATTAGTAATAAACAATAGACCACCTCTCCACATATAGTAATTAATCATTTGAGTAAAACTCAACAGTAATTGAAAAATCTTCAGAACAGATCTCATCAAAAGCATAAACATGGAGAAACATCTACTACTGATTGTCATAACAGTATCAGGTACAGTAAAATACAATTTACATGTTCACATTTTTAAGCTGTGTTTAAGTAACAATAAACAATACAGAGTAAATATCAAACTATTAAATTACACAGTTTTTGAAATACTACCTTTTAAATGGGCTGGGTTTCAGACATACTGTTGTGTCTAAAATGTATATCCAGATGTATTTCCTGACAGCACTGGATCAAAAGACAAGGACGCTATAATCAGTAAAGAAGGAGAGTCTGTGACAATGAGCTGCACATACAGTACAATCAGCAATGATGTTTTGCTTTACTTTTACAGACAATATCCAAACACAGAACCCCAGTATTTACTGTCAAAAGGTGCTCGATCATAGAACCATGAAGAGGATATACAAGACTGACGCATTCAGTCGACTACATCCCAATCATCCACTGAACTCACTATTAAGAGTGTAACTCTGTGAGATTCAGCTTGCTATTTCTGTGCTCTAAGAGCAGCAGCCCAGTGATAAAAAATGCCTGAAAGGCTTTACAAAAACTCACACGCAAAGTTGAACAATAGTAATCAAATGACTCCCAGCCACATTTATCTCTCATTTAACCCACACAGAAAATATACACCACAATATGGTAACACCTGTTTATTTAATGGAAGTGAGAGAGGATCAAAGTAAATAATATTAAGGCTATGTAACAAATTAATTAATTAATCAAATCTCTAAAACAGAAATAAAAGATATCTAAATAGAGATATTACAAACCCAAAATCTAATAAAAATGACAAAAACAGACTGAAATTAAAACAAAAACTGAAAACATAAAAATAAAAGCTAATAAACACAAAAACACTAAAAAACAATGAATATAGGAGGGGTCTTGATGGCACTAACCACACCCACATAACAATATCAGCAGACCACCTCTGCAGTGCACTGCTTTCAAGACAACATTTAAAATAACTAAGAGTAAGCAAATATTAACAAAAATTCCTAAAAACAAACAGAGCATTGATTACAAAATCTATAAGCATAAAATATTCAAAATAGTCTTGATCTGAAGAACCAATGGTCCCCAAAAAAAACAAAATCACTGGACTTAATGATTACAGACCGGTCGCTCTCACGTCTGTGGTCATGAAGTCATTTGAAAGACTGGTCCTGGCCAACCTGAAGGACATCACTGGAACCTTGCTGTATCCTCTTCAATTACCGTACAGAGCAAACAGGTCTGTGGAAGATGCAGTCAACATGGGACTGCATTACATCCTGCAACACCTCGACAGACCTGGGAATTATGCAAGGATCTTATTTGTGGACTTCAGTTCGGCCTTCAATACATCATGCCTGACCTTCTCTCAGACAAACTGACCCAGCTCTCCGTGCCCACCTCCATCTTTCAGTGGATCACCAGCTTCCTGACAGACAAGTAGCAGCTAGTGAGACTGGGCAAACTCACATCCAGGTCTCTCACGATCAGCACTGGCGCCCCCCAGGGTTGCGTTCTCTCCCCACTGCTCTTCTCCCTGTACACAAATGACTGCACCTCTAAAGTCCCCTCTGTCAAGCTAGTGAAGTTTGTGGACGACACTACAGTCATCGGCCTCATCAAGGATGGAGACAAGTCTGCTTACAGACAGGAGGTTAAAGAGCTGGCTGTCAGGTGCAGTCACAATAACCTGGAGCTCAACACGTTCAAAACAATGGAGATGATTGTGGACTTCAGGAGAAACCCCCTGCACTCCCCCCACTCACCACCATGAAAGGCACTGTGGCAGCAGTGGAGTCATTCAGGTTCCTAGGCACCACCATTACTCAGGACCTGAAGTGGGACATTCACATTGACTCTATTGTGAAAAAGGCCCAGCAGAGGCTGTACTTCCTTCACCGGCTGAGTTCAACCTGTCACAGGAGCTGCTCACACAGTTCTACTCTGCCATCATTGAGTATGTCCTGTGTTCATCTATAACTGTTTGGTCTGGCTCAACTACCAAATCAGACATCAGGAGACTTCAACGGACAATCAGGACTGCTGAGAGGATTATTGGTGCCCACCTGCCCAACCTCCAAGATCTTTACACTTTCAGAGTGAGGAAAAGGGCTAAAAAATCACTCTGGACCCCTCACACCCAGCACACTCCCTCTTTGAACTGTTGCCCACTGGCCGGCGCTGTAGAGCACTGAGCACCAAAACAGCCAGACACAAGAACAGTTTTTTCCCCCAGGCCATATCCCACCTGAACAACACATAACACATCTCAGGACTGTACATCTGTAAATAATTCTGCACATTCACAATTCTGTCTATTGGCATTTTCTTTTTCTCTATATTGTATTACTATATTGTTATTTATAATTTATTGTCTACTTTCTTTATTATTAGTGTTTTTATTACCTTAAATTATATGTATGTATGCACTGTGTTTGTACTTTCTGTACTGGAAGCTCCTGAGACGAATTCCTTGTGTGTGTAAACATACTTGGCAATAAAAAAAAATCTGATTTCTGAGAGAAGTCTACTACTAATTCTCATAGCAGTATCAGGTAACATACAGTACACTTTCAACCTTTTATACACTTTGGTTCAACACGTTGTCAAGTATCAGTGATTTTTAATTGCAGGTGTGCTGTCTGAGCATTGGACCAAGTGAAAAGGATACGGATATGATCAGGCAAGAAGGAGGATAGTCTGTGACTGGAATGCTCATATAATGCAATCAGCATTTATGTTTTGCTGTACTGGTACAGACAGTATCCTATTAAAGAACCTGAATTTATACTGTATAAAGGTGCTCGATCGTGGAGCTATACAGAAGATATATCAGGTGATAGGTTTCAGTCGACTACTTCCTACTTCACTCGGTATCGATAATGCTGCTGTGTCAGATTCATCTCTCCATTATTGTGCGTTGATGAGCTGTCTATACAGCCCAGTGTTACAAATTATTGGGAGGCTTTACAAAAACTCACAAAATGATTGCTTTGAAAGTCAGTAATCAAACTTTTAGAAAACCATAGAGGCTGTAAAGAAAACTAAATGTGGTAACACCTGCTGAACAAACAGGACTGAAGGGAAAACTATATATTTATATTTAGATCATGTGGCATTATATGATGAGGGTTACGTTGGAAAATTAACAAAAGTGTTTGTGACGTTGAAAAATACAATACTTGAATTCTCTTACATAATACCATTAGAAAACCAGGAGTGGACTGTATGCATTTTTTTATTTAATTGATATCGTGCCTCAATATTAAAGATAATAATCCACTAATGTTTAAAGAGAATACTGGCAGAAAATAGAGTAGTGCAAGATCCATCACAGAGAAATATTCAGAAAAAAACAATGACAGTAAAAAACTCAAACAGAAGATAAATGGCTAAAATGGAGACCCTATTAATACAAGATAAAATGCGTTTTGTTATAAAGGCTAACTGTAGTGTCATATCATCATATCAAAGAAAGTGTGACATTGTTTTGTATAGCTCTTTTAGATTGTTTCAATAAACCTGTTTTTGAAGCGAACTTTATGAGGTGGCTGCTGTTTTTGCTTCTTTTGTCTGACTGTTACAACTCTCCCCAGTATGTGTTACAACCTACCCCGGTAGCGGGGTAGATTGTAACAAAGGCACTCCATGTATTTGACATCAACTTATAAGGGCTGTGATATACTTGCAGATATTTGAATTGGTGCCTTTTGTAGTGAACAAATGTGGGTACTTTGTATAAAAGTCTGAGCACTCGAGCTCAAAAATTCAGTGAGTTACAGATGTTGAAACAAAAAGTGTTACAACCATACCCGGTCTCCCCCTAAATAATAATGAAAAAAAATTAAAATAATAAGCTATTGTAAGGAAGAGACAAACACTCCATGTGCTGATTCTGCAGAACAAGCTCCTCCCAGCCACTGTATACACAGTATGATGATATTTAAAACAGGCTCATCAAAGACAAGCTGAAACAACTGTGCTCTCCAGTGCATTTAAACAGTTCATTCCTGTCAGTTACACAGTACAGTTATTATAATGACTCACTGGGAAAGACATTTGATTATCTTTATAACATATTTCTGGGGTGAGTAGGATTCTTTTGAGTCTCTAAATCTGCCCTATTATAACATGAAGAATATTAAATGATTTTGCTTGAAATTCTGTTCCAGGATGTGATTCTCTGGAGAGTGTTGACCAGAATACAAGAGTTCAAACTGCTGTTGAAGGCAGATCTGTTATGATTAACTGTAGATATGAAACCAGTGATCTATCCCCGTATCTCTTCTGGTACCAACAAAAGATGAATGGAATCCCCAAATACATGATGATGATATTTGCTACAACTGTACAAAATGACAAAGAGTTTGAGGAGAGATTTAACGCAAATCACAACAAAACTTCAAAATCAGTTCCACTGACAATCCAGGATGTGAGTGTGTCTGACTCTGCTGTGTACTACTGTGCTCTGAGGCCCACAGTGACTGAAACACACTCAACACTCACACAAAAACTTATGCTGCTGAGTTACACCTTCTGATGGTTAATGATATTTGCTATATTTTTTATTTCTATTAACACTGTGACTGATTAATTTCACTATTAGTTATTAACCTAAATAACAAATATTTATAAAATATAAAAATATTGCCTTGATTGACTTATACAGGTATTCATATATTTCCCCTACTATATCAGAAGCACGTGCTGAGTTACACCTTCTGATGGTTAATGATATTTGCTATATTTTTTATTTCTATTAACACTGTGACTGGTTAATTTCACTATTAGTTATTAACCTAAATAACAAATATTTATAAAATATAAAAATATTGCCTTGATTGAATTATACAGGTATTCATATATTTCCCCTACTATATCAGAAGCACATTTATTATTTTAATATTCTTTTTTAAAATTTTAACAATTTATATACAATTTTAATGAATGCATAACAAATTGTATCGTCACCTTGTAATAACTCGTGCAATGCAGAAGAGGGCGACAAGCACAATTATTTTGAAGAGCTCTTTTGAAAAACACTTTTCTTTGACAAAAATCCCTTCTCTGTTTTCATAAACAATGCTCTTTTTAGTCACTGCTTCGTTTGCTGAAGATCATTCAGTCACTCATCACTATAACACCATATAGTTATCACTATAACCATTTGCATTTGCTAATTTAGATTGAAACATTAAGATATGCATATATCTTGAGCAGTTGAAGTTCACCCAAAAATGAAAATTCTGTCATTGTTTACTCACTGTCAACTGTTAGGTTAGCAACATTCTTCAAAATATCCTCGTTTGTGTTGAACAGAAGAAAGAAACACTTACAGGTTTAGAACAAGTTTAAGGAGAATAAATAATGACAGAATTTTCATTTTGGGGTGAACTATCCTTTAATCTGTCAGAGCAGGATTTACAGAATAGATTTAAAGGGGTCATATGATGTTGCTAAAAAGAACATTATTTTGTGTATTTGGTGTAATGAAATGTGTTTGTTTTAGGTAGGCGTGGCTGACTCTTAACTTTTATAAAGAATATCTCTTTGGATTTGAGACTTTAGTCTTTGCAACTTTACAGATCTTCTTTATGCACCAAGAGCTTGTAACACTCCAAAGGAAAAATTTTAATCACATCATATGACCCCTTTAATTTAGCTATATAGCTCTTATATACAAAAACCTTTGCCTATTGTCATACTGTCTTTAGGTAAGGGAAAATGTAGTCAGTCAATCATTACTGCAAAATTATCCCTGACAGGGTGATCAACAGAACCCAAGTACAGAGTGTTTCAGGATTATTTTATGATTATATTTTATATATATATTATATATGATTATATTTTATGAACTATAACTTTGTGGCTGAAATAAATTATCATTACTCCCATGGTTTCAGATATGACCTCAATGAGCATTCAAATGAGCACAAATAACTGTACAGATTGTTTTGCGAACAATAACATTAATATGATCATTGTTATTCAGATTTATTCAGATTTTATGGATATTTTATATGAGCACAGGAAGCATGCAATCATTTAATTAGCCAGTTTAGTGCAAATACAAATAAGGGTGATTTAGAATAAATATTAGGCTATATGTTTTACTGTGTATGTAGACAAACACAGCAGACCAATGTTAGTGTTTCCAAGTTTTACAGGCGTGACATGTTAAAATGTACTTAAAACATACAATTGACTGTTGTAGTACTTGTTAGACACCTTATGTTGTCCTCCTGGTTTTTGCTGTTCTTAAGTGATATTTGAGATGATTTTTTTTTCTTTAGAGAGATTAAAGATTTTATTTTATATTTTATTTTATTTAGTCAGTAGTCAGTAGAGTTTTAGTAAATTCCAGTTCAGGAATTGTCACAGTTTGGTGTTGAAGTTTGCTATAAAAGATTCAAAAGGATCATTGTGTTTTAATGGGAGTGCAGCTTTTAGGGGAGGTGCTATCTGGAGACATCATCTGCTAGACAGTGGAGGGTTGCCTTCTAAAAGTCTGTGCGGCAAAGGAACTAATCCACTGCAAAATGGTGCTCAGCTTTTTACTTTTCTTCTGCACTCTCGCATGTAAGAATTTTATGTTTATATTCTTATATTATTATATATTTTCATATTTTCCATTCTATTTAATTGTATTTTTTTCTTTTTTTTGTATCTTGTGCTTTTTTAGTTCATGACAATGGAGATTAAATCTGATTCATAGGTGTCAGTTTTGGGAATGTCATCACACCAGTCCAAACTGAGGTGTTTTGGACAGAGGGGGGAAATATAACTCTGTCCTGTTACTACTCCTCAGCGATTAGTCTGCAGTGGTATCACCAATATCACGGTTCAGCTCCTGAATTTCTTTTGATAATACTACATAGGACAGGGAAAGTTTCACAAAAGTCTAAAATTGCAGAGCTAGATCCTCGATTCTCTTTAAAACTGAATGAAAAGAAACCCCATGTGGACCTGGAGATCTCCTCTGCTAAACTGACAGACTCTAAACTGTACTACTGTGCCCTGATGCCCACAGTGACAGGAAAACAAACTACACTGTACAAAAACCTGACTTGTGTTAATCATCCAGTGGGTTAATTATTAATCATCCAGCATATTTCTGCAGACATTTGTTTGTGCTAGCTTAAAAATAATAAACAAATAAATAAATATCAGTAACTTGCTAAAGAAAAACATTTCTCATGTTTTAATATATCAGTTTTCTGTAGAACCTATACAATTATATCTGAGAATACATTTTGTTTATACTTGAAATCAATTGAAAGAAAACAAAGTAAAAGTGGCTCAAATTTACCATTCAAGAACGCACATTATTTCAAAATAGACACATGCTGTTCTGATCTCCAGCAGAAGGGGGCAACATAATCTCACAAGTTATGTTTCACAAGCATTTCACTGATGTTCACCAATGATGGTTTAGTAGTGAATGTTGACCAATGATTATTAAAGTAACACCCTGGTGAATGTATATTTTTTTCACTTGCTCTGTGTAATTTTGGTAAAGCAAATTCATTAGATACATAGATAGATCTCTCTGAAATGCAGTGACATGGTAAGCGTAAAGGATCAGTGAAACAGTAGTGCATAGAGTGTTTCACTGACCACACCAACATTAGTACACAATAAAACTTCACTCAGTCTCAGTGCATTCAAAGTAAAAGTGGCTCAAATTTACCATTCAAGAACCATTATTTCAAAATAGACACATGCTGTTCTGAGCTCCAGCAGAAGGGGGCAACATAATCTCACAAGTTATGTTTCACAAGCATTTCACTGATGTTCACCAATGATGGTTTAGTAGTGAATGTTGACCAATGATTATTAAAGTAACACCCTGGTGAATGTATATTTTTTTCACTTGCTCTGTGTAATTTTGGTAAAGCAAATTCATTAGATACATAGATAGATCTCTCTGAAATGCAGTGACATGGTAAGCGTAAAGGATCAGTGAAACAGTAGTGCATAGAGTGTTTCACTGACCACACCAACATTAGTACACAATAAAACTTCACTCAGTCTCAGTGCATTCAGTCACTCATTAGCTACTCTCACATTTTATATATTTTATGAAGTCACATTCAGCATACTTTATTAGTTACAAATTTCCAATAAATCAGTTTAATAATACTATAAACTAAAAGGTGCTCGATCATGGAGGAGCAGTGAGGATATACCAGATGAGTTTTAGTCAACTACATCCCAATCATCCACTGAATTTACTATTGTAAAAGCAGCTCTGTCAGATTCAGCTCTTCATTACTGTGCACTTTATGTAGAAACCCAGTGATACAAAACACAAGAGAAGTTTTACAAAATCTCACACAAATTTAATGCTTTGAAGAGTCTTTAATCGATCAGTATCAAAACATCATGTTTTTGTAAACCACAAACAGGGAATGTGGTAACAGCTGTGAATTTAGGGGATAAAAAGAGTCACGTAGCATGTGAATATAATTTAGCATGTATTGCATATTCTTCTCATGTTAGCTTGTTTGTTAGGTTATCTCTTCTCATATTATGTTGTGTTTATAAGTCTCATTCAAAATGATAGAAACTCATATATGTGCAAAATAGTCATAGAATATTGGCAATAAGCAGCAGAACGAAGAACACAAATGCATTATCAAAACACAAAGAATTAAAAGAAATTAGCACATATTTAAACAGCTACTGTATGCATGCTCATTTAATCTTTTCTTAGGTGCTTCAGATTTAATGTCAGGACAGAAGGAGGAGTTTAGCACAGACTCTATACAGCATACAGAGTAGAGATGAACATCACACAACACTGTGTGGAGCAGCTGCTCTGTTTTTAGCTTGTTCTTGTTCAGTGAGTGAACATGTTGATCTATATTATTATACTGCTGTTATCAACTGAAGGTATAATACTGTAAAAATAAAAGCAAAAGCATTTTATTCAAACAGAAGTGTTTAAAAAACTGAATTTAATGCCACTTTCATTTGCAGGTTCCAGAACCTCAGAAGTCATCACTCCAAAAAGAGACAGAGAATTTGCTCTTGAGAGTGACAATGTGACACTCTCCTGTAACTACAGCGGTTCTGCTCGTGGTGTTCACTGGTATTGTCAATATGCAGGTTCACCACCACAGTTCCTCATACTGGAATATTCAGGGGTAACAACTCCAGCTAATCCACCCGTTCCAGGAATAACCATCAATCACAGAAAAACAGAAAGCCATGTGGATCTGATCATCTCCTCTGCTGCAGTATCAGACTCTGCTGTGTACTACTGTGCTCTGCAGCCCACACTGACAGGAAACCCTACGGCATTGTACAAAAACATTGTACAAAAACAGTTTTCATATGCTTATCAAGCCCTGATAGAAATGTGCAAACCACAGCTTGACTAACACAAATGTCCAAAAAAAAAAAAGGACAGCTCCTACTGATATTCCTACTGATATCAAGTAACACACAATATTGTAAGCTCATAAGGGATCTTCCATTGAAATCCCACATAATGATCACCATGAACACACTGTAGGATCAGAGACAGATTATCTGCTTCATAAATTCAGGACTATAGTTTTAAATCAATTGTATTTTGGGAAAGAACAGGATTTTTCTACTGACATTTTATTATATTGATTTAAATTTTTTATACAATGTTATAAAATAACATTTATAACATTAAATAGTCTTCATTTGAAACTTAATTGTAACAAACATAAACATGCTTTCTGCACATCTGGATAATTATTGTTATAGAACCCTCATTTCTGTCTAACATGCAAAATCTATATCATGTTTATGTTTAAGATTACACCCCTAAAATATGTCACTGAAATGTGTTGTACCTTGTCATTTATCTCTCTATCTATATTTATAAATATTCTTTATTTCTATTCAATATGTGTGATTGTGTTATAAATAACATTTCATCATTTATATTGTGTGAGATGAGGGCTGAATGTTGTCAATCTGAGTAGGAGGAGTTTAGCACAGATGTTGTATAATAGGACTGTCAGCATTTCACAAGTCTTTTTCGATCATCTGATGTTTCTGTGTGCCTACTGTTCACACCTGATTATTGTGCCAAAATGTTTATCTATTTAATTATATTACTATCATCAGCTCAAGGTAGGATATTGCCACATATGCTTAAACATTTTAGGATGAAAACATGAATTTCCAAATTCATGAAAACATGATTTCCTATCATGAATAAGACCAAATTCAGGTTTTGCGTAATTTGTAAATAATGATTCCCTAATTGAAACAAGAAGTTTGTTTGAAAATTCTGACTTCCCAGAAATGCTTTTTTAGTTAACCAAGCTAACAACAACATTGCATTATTAAGTACTGTATATACATTTTATTGCATTTAAATGGAGAATGTATATTTAAAAGAGGAAATAAATTTCAGATGTAATTTTTCTTTTCTCCTTTTTTTTTTTACTTTAAATTTATGCTTTAAATGCAGGTTCCAGAGCGGCAGAAGTCATCACACCATACAGTGCTTATCAGTTTGCTGATGAGGGTGACAGTGTGACACTCTCTTGTAGCTACACTGGTTCTGTTCAAGGTCTTCACTGGTATCGGCAATATGCAGGTTCACCACTAAAGTTCCTCATAATGGATTCCTATGGGGCAGTTACTAAAGCTGATCCTCCAGTACCTGGAGTCTCAATCCATCACAGAAAAGACAACAGTAGTGTGGATCTGAAGATCTCCTCTGCTGCTGTCACTGACTCCACTCTGTACTACTGTGCTCTGGAGCCCACAGTGAAAGGAAATCCACTGCATGCTGTACAAAAAGCTGTTTAAATAAGACTGAAAGAGAGAGGTGGGGATGAGGGTTTATGTTTAAAAAAAAAACTGTCATACTGTGAAAAGTGGGAAGTCGTGGCCTAATGGTTAGAGAGTTGGACTCGTAACCCAAAGGTTGTGGGTTTGAGTCTCGTACTGGCAGGGATTGTAGGTGGGGGGAGTGAATGTACAGTGCTCTCTCCCACCTTCAATACCACGACTGAGGTGCCCTTGAGCAAGGCACTGAACCCCTAACTGCTCTCTGGGCACCGCAGCAAAAAAATGGCTGCCCACTGCTCTGGGTGTGTGTTCACGGTGTGTGTGTGCAC